GTGTTGCTGGAGCCAGAAAGCACAGACAGAGCCATGAGCCAAGGAGTGCCAAAATTGTGAGGAGGAAGCAACAGTGTCTTTATGGGAATACAGGCCTGTGTGTTTTAGACCTTGGTCTCCAAAGCTGTGTGAGACAGCACATTCATGTTATTATGAAACTGCTTTTTAGGGCAGGAATCCACACTCCACTGGAGGTACCTGTCTGTGGGAGCACTGACTCCTGGGAACTGATGAGTGGTGGTTCTCTATCACCAGCATTCAACATGGCCCCAATTTTTAACATTCTTTATTTATTTGTTTATTTGTGTGTGTGTGTGTGTGTGTGTGTGTGTGTGTGTGTGTGTGTGTATGTGTGTGTGTAGTTAGCATTGATGTAGGCCATATTCCTGGAGACTCAGCTCAGGTATCACTGAGAATTGAAGTTTCCTCCATCTTTCCACTGAATCCCAGGACAGAGTCCATGCCTTCCTCGCACTACAGTAGCACCCACCACATCTTGTTCATGATGCTCCTCATGCATCATGACACTCAGGACGCATCTCAACAGGGGATCCTCATGTGTGCATTCGTCTTTCCCTCACGTTCATGTGCTTCATGACTACAGGGGCCGTATCACAAAATACCTCAGAGGAACCCCAGTCTGGAGTTGACATTTTCTAGCTTCAAGCCTGTACCAGGCAACAACACATCTAGAAATAGATGCTGTCAGGTGCTATGGTGAGACTGTCCTTACTCTGTCCAGCAGCAAATTACTGGAGCGTCTTGGAGTGGGCCTTACTCAGGGCCATCCCACAGACCACCACATGTGATTTTGTGTTTCTTCTCTCAACCCTGTTCAAACCCAAGTCCTTGCACTTGCATGGCATCTCTCCAGTCCCTCAAACTGATACTCTTATTTTTTTTTATTATTTTATGTATATGAGTGTATTGCCTGCATGTATGTAAATGAGCCCATATCATGAAATGGAGGTCAGAAGAGGGCATCAAATCCCCTGGAACTGGAATTATGGATGGTTGTTAGCCGCCATGTGGGTGCTGGGAACTAAACGCTCGTCCTCTGCAAGAGCAGCCAGTGCTTTTAACCACTGAGCCATCTTTCCAGCCTTCAAACTGATACTCTTAATTGACACTAATCTCTTTGGATTTCTTTTTGTATAACTGTTCTAGGGAATTTTTAGCAACTTAGCCATCCTAGTCCATTTTGTGTTTCTGTAACAAAACACCAAGGCTGGGTACCTTATGAAGAAAAAAAAAAAGGTTATTTGACTCATAAGTCTGGTGACTGTGAAGTCCAAACAGCATCATAGTGTTAGTATCTCAGATAGGTCCCTTGGTGGGTGCTATCACATGAGCACTCACCCACCATGAATGAAGATGAAGCAAGAGAACAGAGAGGGCCAGACTCCTGTTCTGTTGCAAGAAGTCAACTCCATAAGAGCTCCATGAATCTCTCATGAAGGTGGTCATGACCCAGTTGCCTTCCACCCTGGCTTCCTGCCAAGCCACCCTACCTTTTAAACGTCCTCTCAAGGCTACATCCTAGGGACCAAATTTCGAGTGAACCTCAAGGGGAACCAACTGTATCCAAATCACAGCATCTGCTTTATTAATATAGGCAATCGCCAGGTGCTGGTTCCAGCTAACCAACCAAGAAAACCACAACTTTCTTCTTCTGGCTGCTTGGGCCAGCATATGGAGCACATATTGGTGCCCATATTGGTAAATTCAGCCTCAAACAGAAGCCAGTCTCCCTCTTCCATCTGTCATCCTAGTGCATATTGGCTGGATGGGAGGGAGGGGTACTTTTGGGAGTCTTAAGCAAGGTGGGAAAGGCCTCACCAGACAGCAAACAAAGGGAATGTCACTGGAGATGGAGATTTATGGGTAGTCTGATTCATTTGCGTTCTCCTGGTGGCACTATCCTCTTTCCATCTGAGAGACTCAGTGAGGTGATGAATTAAACCAGCACTGGAATTTGGCAACCCACAGGATCATCTTTTGTTTCTTGTCCTTAGCTAGTTCTTCAGCTGCCAATGAGAAATTCCTTTAGTCTTAAAGGCCCCTGATTTCTAGTCTGGGTGTTGGTAGAGGGCTTTATGAAACTGAATTTGATATTCTCGCATGTTAAATCAGTAGTTTTCTTTGGCAGTATCTAGAGGCATTATTAGTTATCACAAGAGGTAGATATGTGTGTCTGTTACTTGAATCTATTGGACAGAGGCCACTAGATGTTGCTGAAACTCTCTGAAAGGAACAGAGAAGAACACACAACAGAGAAGAATCCAGATCAAAATGCCCATAGCTCCAGATTGAGAATCTCTGTTCTGAGTTGCTCACCACTATGAGAAGTCACTATCTCATTCTGCATCCCTTGATTCTTGATTTCCCACCAGTACCTCCGTAGCAGTGTAGTGTCAGTTGACAGAGACAGTGTAATGCCATCAGTTGCCTTTTGCACTACAGGGGAGATGACTCAGTGGATAAAGTGTTGGCTGTGCAAACATGAGGAACTGAGTTCAATGCCCAGATCCTTGCTCGTAATTTCAGTACTTGAGGAGGCAGAGGCAGGTGGAACAGCCCCCCTGCCACCTGAGCAGGATCGCCTGCTACCCCCATCAGTATAGTAGTCCAGGGTCTCTTTCCCTAGTTAGGAGCGTGTCCCACGGTTTGCATCTGACACATCATGCTTGTCGACCCAGGGAAAGCCAGGCAAACTAGTATCTGACATTTCCAAACTGTAGTAAGAGGCACATTATGCCTCTGATAGGATGGGGCATTATCCATTGAGAGACGGGGCAGATGTAGACTGGCCACACTACCCCTTCCAATCATGTGCGCCCTTCTGCTCAAAGCAGAAAACCAGGAATTGCCCCAGATTCTTTTCCTTCCACTCCCTGGCTGTATTGGCAGCAGTTAGTAGCTGATCAAAACCCAGTCCTGAATCCATCTTGACTCCAGTGTCAGTACCTCCATACTTCAGCCATCATCCCTTCCTCTAGTAGACTGACAGTCACCCCTGTTTGCACAGCTCCCATCATCACATGGCGCAAAGCAGCAAGAAAGGGTCTCTTACCACGTGTCCTTTTCACTCTAATACCTTTAATGGCTTCTTTTCACATGTAAATAAAATTCAAAAGTTTTATTTTTGGCCTCTGAGCTCAAGTCTCATTTGATCTATGCTATGATTTTTTTAAAATTACATTTTACTTATTTATGGGGGGAGGGCATTCCACAGTGCCCCCTTTGGAGGTCAGGGGACAACTTGTCAGAGTTAGTTCTTTCCTTCCACCATGTGAATCCTGGAGATTAACTCAGGTTGTCAGCCTTGGCAATAGGCACCTTTACCCAACTGAGCCATCTCACTGGCCCACATGTGATTTTGTGTTTCTTCTCCCTATCCTGTTCAAACGGGTCCTCCTGCTTGCATGGTGTCTCTCTAGTCCCTCAAACTGATACTCTTTTTTTAAAAAAATATTTTGTTTTATTATTTTTTACTTTATTTTCTGTGTATGCATGTATTGCCTGCATGTAGGTAAGTGCACCCGTGTCCCGCAGTGCCCGCGGAGGACAGAAGAGGCTGTCAGATCCCCTGGAACTGGAGTTACAGACAGTTGTTAGCAGCCATGTAGGTGCTGGGATTCAAACCCAGGTCTTCTGCAAGAACAGCCAGTGTTCTTAACCAGAGTCATCTCTCCAGCCCCTCAAACTGATACTCTTAATTAACATATCCTGTGTTATCTTTATCAACACCAGGTAAGACTGACCAGAATCCAGCTGCCACATCCAAACCTTCTACAACCCAGAGCAAGCAGGAACCCCTTCCAGTGCCCACTAGCGCTGCAGCAAAAGCACCTGCTATGACAGCCCCGACATCGACCGCTGCACCAGCATCGAAGCAGGACAAACGTCCATCTGATGGCTCAGTGATAACTACACTCCCTCCAGCCCAGCAAAACACTGTGGCATCTAAAAACTCAGTGGTGACCTCAGTCCAACCTCCAATAGATGCATCTAAATGGACCTCAGACTCTGGAGACAAATCAAGTGGGAGCACCCCTACTACCCTTCTCAGTGGCTTCCAGGGTGACAAGCCTAAAACGACAAGCCGCCCCACTACTGATGAAAATCGAGCTTCCTCTGGAGGTCAGAGCAATGACAGTGCTCTCACAGCCCCACCAGCCACTCAGGGGAGAGACCATCTGGCCACTAAAACGGCCACCGAACCTCCCTTACAGTCTACAGACCAGGCTAACATCTCACAGCCTCCTTCTATTTCTACACTTACCAATACAGCAAGTCCTCCCCAGTCCGCAGCTACTACTTTAAAGACCACAGAGAGCTCTCCTTCGGGACAACCCAGCCCTACCACTATCTCCAGTGGATCCAACACTGTGTCCAGACCTGACTTATCAGTGGCCTCAGGGATGCCTACCACACAGAGTAAGTTGTGCCTTGGTGATTTTGTTTAGTTTTTCCTGAGCAATAAGAAACTTTGCAGTGTTTAGTCCTGTACCGTCAGTTGGAAGATCTAGATGCATATGGACCATTTAAGTTTCTGTATATCTTGTGCCTTCTTGCAGACCCAGCCTCTAGGTTCCCTTTTCAGCTGTGGTAGATGTCCTCCCCAAGGTAGCGGCATGTAAACAAGCCGGAATCTGTCCTCAGGCATAACTACGTGGTTGTGGTGGCAGGGTGTTAGGAAGCTCTAGCACAGTGCTTTCCAGATTTATTTGATAGCAACACACAATAAGAAATACATTTTTAAATAAATGAAAAAAATGATAATAGAGGCTAGTGAGATGGCCCAGTAGGTAAAAGTGCTTGTTCCCAAGCCTGACAACCTGAGTTCAATCTCCAGGAAGGAGAAAACCAGCCCTTCCAAGTTGTCCTCTCACATCACATGTGCACCATGGCATGTGTGTGCATACACACACACACACACACACACACACACACACACTAAATAAATAAATAAATAAATAGGAAAAAAACAACACCCTACACTTTCGCATTACATTGTGATCCAAAATGCCACATGTATATAACATGCATGATGAAACAAAAGTTTCATATTTAATGGACCTCTTTAAGGACTCATGTTATGCACACTTTTTTTTATTTCTATTTTTTTTACTTAATTTTTAAAAAGTTTTTTTTATTTTATTTTATGTGTATGAGTGTTTTGCCTGCATGTAAGTGCACCATGTGCATGTAGTGCCCAAGGAGGCCAGAGGAGGGCATCAGATCACTGGAACTGGGATTACAAATGGTTGTAAGCTGCCATGTGGGTGCTGGGAACTGAACCCACATCCTCTGGAAGAACAGCAAGTGCTTTTAAACACTGAGTCATCTCTCTAGCCCCTTGCTTTTTGGTGTTTTGTTTTATTTTTGTATTTTGAGACAGGTTCTCATTGTGTAGTACTGGCTGGCCTGGAATTCTCAAAGATCCACCTGCCTCTACCTCCTGAGTGCTGGGATTAAAGGTGAGTGCCGCAATACCTATTTTATTGACTTAATTTTTAAAGCACAGCTCTTAACTAGATAAATGAATTTTAGAATCTACAGCTGGATCATGAGCCTTGAATTCCTGACCCATGATTGGATCTACTGACTCAGTTTCTGAGCATGAGTCCAGGACTCTGTACTTGTGGGAACTCCACAGTGGTGCATTTGCCCTCCACACTGGGAGAGGGTGGCCATGTCCTGTAGTGAGTTCACGGGCTCAGAGAGGGATACACCTATGTTCAAATCCCCCACCTCCACCGCTTCCAGCTGTTGGCATATGAGCTTGGACAAACGGCTGAACCTCTCGTAACCTCAGTTTCCTTGTATATAAATGGGAGTCATGAAGTGCCTTCCTGTAGGGGAGTGCCTTTGAAGCATATAGCACAGTGCTTCCACAAAGCAAATGCCTGATAAAAACTAGCTGTGGCTTGGATGGCTAACTTGGCCATTATTGCTGTGACTCCCTCTGTACCTCTCCCCCCTCATCCAGGCTGTCCTATCCTATAACATGGCCTAGGACCCCATGCCTTCATTTCTGCCTCTTCCTCATAGCTGTGGGCTTCAACTTGTGAGAACTAAGGAGCCAGAAAAGACTTCCCTTCCTCGGCAGGTACCACTTGTCTCTTCTCAGTCTTTGCTTTGCCTATTACAGCATCACCAGTCACCCCTGAAGAAACTCAGTCCACCTCCAGCGAGATGCCGGGTGTATCTCTGCCTTTCTTCACACCACCGCAGCCCACAGGGTCTTCAGTGGGAACTGAGGCCACACCTACTGCTGATGAATTTATAAGCCCCAGCACTAATTTGACTCCAACGGCCCCCCGAGGCCCTAGCACACCCTCTCCCATCTGGACTTTTGGGAATTACAAGGTAATTCCAGCAGGGGTTGGACAAGAGAGATCCTGGATTCAAGGGAAGCCTACCTATTCTTTGCCTCACTCAGGACCCTGGCTTGGATTTTAAGGAACAGTTGTCTCTTCTCCCTTCCCTTCTCCTCTGTTCTTGCCCAGGGATATACCTGGTTTTGAAACTGACCAGCCATGCCCCCAACTTGCCATGTGCAACTTTCCCGTGTCACCCACCCCCGTATCCACTCACTCACCCACAGGAAGGTGAGAATCCAAGATCCATTGACTTTGGGCCTCAACCTTTTCCTTATGGCTTCTTCCAGGTAAAGTGTGACCCTGCCATCATGCCAGACCCGGACCTGCTCATCTTGAACCTCACGAGAGCCAGTCTCTGTGTGAGTATGCTTGACAGAGCCCCAGCCCACCCCTGCACCCAGCCCCTGTCCATGTGCTCCTTTTCAAAGAGATTGAGTGGAGGGTGAGTTAGACCTTTCCCATCTCACAAAGTGATAAACTGAGGTTCAGACTTCTCACAGGCCATGCATGGGACTGGTTCAGCCCCAGAGGAGTCCAGATCCCCTCAACTTTCACTGTGTAACTGTTCCTAATGATCTGAGAGTCTGGAGACCCTGGTCATAGTCAGACTGGTCAGACCTAGTTCTGGGTGTGATATTGCTAGGTTAATGACTTTGAAACTGTTTTGCTGAGCCATGTGGCACAGCTATTTAGGAGGCTGAGGCAGGATGATTGCAAGTTCAAGGTCTACCTTGGCCACAGAGTATGTTTAAGGCCAGTCTGGGTATCTTAATAAGACCTTGTCTTAAAAGAAAAAGTAAAATGTAAAGCTTTTGGCTAGTATATGTGAGGTTCAATTTCCAGTTCCTCAAAAAATTAAAGCCTGACTAATCTCCCTTAGTCCTCATAGTAGGTTTATATTTCCTGGACCACATGCTCTGATAGCCTCAGTGGAGAATGCAGTGGGCAGGGGCAGTAGGGTCCCGTGTGCACCTCTGTATGAGCCTTCACAAAGCCAGTCTTCCTGGGGGCATGGTTGGGCTGTACAATATATTCTCAGTGAAGAGCCATTGTTGTGCTCTGTGAGCACAAATGATGGCTCATTGCTGCCCTCTCCTGGCCACTGCCTATTTTTGCAGCCATCCCCGGGTACAAGAACTGACTGCCATTGTTTTCATCCAGGGGGTCTGTTTTACTGATGTTTTCCAAGTATACTTTATAGAAACATGCATTTGACCATCAGAATCATAGGGGGAACAGTGTTATTCGGGGTTGGACAAAAAAAGCACTTGAGATTGCCTCCAGACAATGCTATGTATTGTTGGTTAGAAACATTTCTCCTTTTGCTAGAAAAAGATGGAAAGTGCTGGATCCATCCCTAGTGTTGGTAGGGTGCTACTAAGCCTAAGGAAACTGAAGGTGGAAACCCTAGGGGTGGTATGTGTGGGTCCTGAGGGATGTTGGGGTCAAGAGCTCCTGTTTTCACCTTAGCCCTTCATTCAGAGTCACATAGGGAAATATCAGTAGGAGGAAGGTCTGCTGAACTGGCAGGACCGGGTAAAAGCCGCCCATACCTTGCTCCTCACAGTCAGCCCTAAAGCCACATCTGCCTGTTCTTTCTGCTTAGGTCTGTGCAAGCAATTTCATGAACATCCCCCAGCTACCCCATACTACCCATTCAGTGTACCTCATCTTCCCTGTCAGCCTGGCTTGCCTGTAGTCTTAGCATAGGGATAGGTACATCATTTTGGGGTGTGTGAACAGAGAGCTTTGTGGTATTCCCTTTCTGAAGTCTTCGAACTGGGCTTGAGAGACTGGTGACTGGCAGCTTCAAAGCACTGGAACGCCTCTGGCCCTGGCAATGGTACTGTGCACTGCCTCTTCCCACTCCTTCTAGGAGAGGCATGATACAGGCACCTATGCCAGATGCATAGGCTGAGGGAGCTTACAGGGAGGAAGGGGTGTGGGGGTATCCTGACACGCATGCCAGATGCATAGGCTGAGGGAATGGGGAAAGAGGCTGGAAGGGGCAGAGAAGACAGACTGGCCCAGAGAAAAACACAAAACTTGACTTCTGCTGGGAGGTCTAGGAATGGCACCAGTGGAGAGTGGAGGAGGACATGAAGAAAGGATTCTAGCACGGTGACAGAGGGCATCCCCACAAGCTAGGCCATTGTCACGAGCCCTTCAGGATCATCTGTGCTCTCTTCAAAATAGGATGGGAACCCTTCGGATGAAAAACTTGTGGAATTGCTGTGTAATTCAGTCAAAGTCTCCTTCAGCCCAGCTCAGGACCAGTGCTTCCTACAGGTGGCACCTATTCTAGAAAGCCAGGCGGTGGCAGTGAAAAGAGTCATTATTGAGAGTGAGTTGAGGGTGAGGGGGTCCCAGAGTGTGTGGGCAGGACTGGATCTGGAGGTGGTGGTTTGGGAGCACCATGGGAGGCTGGGTTGGGGTGGTATCACACACCATCCCAGGTGACCTGAGGGACTAGCGTACATATAGGACATTCTCCTTGTACCCTTCTCTAACCCTCTCCATGTCACTCTGAGCTGGACCTTGAAGGTAGCCATCTCTCCCTCTCTCCTACAGCAAAGCTCCCTTCTAAGGCTGTATTTGAGCTACTGAAGGACAAATGGGATGACCTGAGAGAGGTAAGTGGCTCTCCCATCCACTGCCCTGAAGTTCAGTGTTCTCTGGTATAGAAGGCCCCTTGATGATGTAGGTATTTGGGAGAGAGGCACATATGAAGGAGGCAGCAAGTAAGTAGGGTAGGGGCAACAGTGCCACACAGAAAGGTTCATAAATGTGGGGTGGAGACAAAGGCCCAGGACTATTTTCTACTATTCAAGTTCTCCTTCTTGGCCAGGCGGGTGTCAGTGACATGCATCTGGGGAAGGAAGGACCACCGGAACCAAATGAGGACCGCTTCAGCATGCCCCTCATCATCACCATCGTCTGTATGGCATCCTTCCTTCTCCTCGTTGCAGCCCTCTATGGCTGCTGCCACCAGCGCGTCTCCCAGAGGAAGGATCAGGTAGGCACTTTCCTCCTCTAGCCAGGGAGCAGCCCAGTCACCTCCTCCCTCCACAGTGTGAGTGAGCCTGGGCCATTCTGACAAGCAGAGGCTCTCGTCCCCTACACTGAAGAGTCAGCATGGCTCCAGAAGCAGAAACACTCGGTTTAGGCCCTGGCTCTGCCCTATTCTCTGTGTCATCATGAGTTAGTCACAAGTCTTTGTGCTTCAGTTTGTCACCTGCATAGTGGGGACGATTCTCACCTTGCAGAGCTGTTTGGAGGTAAGGATATAAATGGCCCTAGATGGGTGCCCACATAACTAAAACTTCTTTTACCTGCCTTACTAGAACCACCATCTTCTCAGGTGTGGTGGCATACACCTGTAATACCAACACTTGGGAGTCCAAGCCAGGAGGATCACAAGTTTGAGGTCAGCCTGGGCTATTCAGTAAGACCCTATCTCATAAACAAAAAAATCTGCCTCCAGTCTTTACAATACTACCCAGAGCAATGGTTCTCAACCCTGGCTGCACACTACTAGGAGTGTTAGGAAAATTCCCATACTTAGTGCCCTCACACACTAGGTAAGGCATAAATTCTAGATCAGAGCCTGTATTAAAAGCTTCTAGGTGATGGTAATATGTACCCACAGCTAGATTTCAAGAAGCATTTCAAGTAGCTGCCATCTGCAGCAGGGAAGGCCACAGGATCCACCATATTCCACATTTCTCAGGCTTTGGGAAGTCCTGTTACCTGACCTGAGGGAGGTAATCATTTTGTCTTGCCCAATGCATTATTATGGAATGAGGTAGGAACCTCGAAACGTTTGGGAGTGAGAAAAGAGATTAGAGAACAACAAAACCCTGTATAGCATGTTCATCTTGGAGAGATGGCTCAGTGGTTAAGAGCACTGGCTGCTCTTGGAGAGGACCTGGGTTCGATTCCCAACACCCACATGGAGGCTAACAACTGTCCATAAGTCTAGTTCCAGGGGATATGATACCATCTTTCGACCTCCACAGGCATTGCATGACACGGGTGCACTTAAACACACACACACACACACACACACACACACACAGGCAATATGCTCATACACATAAAATAAAAATAATAAATAAAATATCTTTTTATTTATTGATGTCACAGATTGCCACTGGGATGAAGGTTGAGACCAGTTGATAATTTAGGATATGGGGGAGTGTTTGTGTGAGATAGTCGGGCCAGTAGCCAGGGCAGCCTCCAGGAGCATCTGCCCCCACAGTGAGCCATAAGAGCTTACCCTAGCTAAATTGAGGCCCCTGGGTTGAGTAGGGGAATATGTGTTATATTAAAGCTCATAGCTCTCCAAAATTACCTTCTTTTGGGTTATTGTCCCCACTCTAGCAACGACTCACAGAAGAGCTGCAGACAGTGGAAAATGGTTACCACGACAACCCAACCCTGGAAGTGATGGAGACCTCTTCTGAGATGCAAGAGAAGAAGGTGGTCAACCTTAATGGAGAGCTGGGGGACAGTTGGATTGTCCCTCTGGACAACCTGACCAAGGATGACCTAGATGAGGAGGAAGACACGCATCTCTAATCCCGTCTTCTGGCCACTCCTGACAGCACCACAGATCTCCAGATCACCTGAAGTGCCATTTGGACAGGGAAGGAAAACTCTCCCCTCAAAGAGGGAAAGACTGGGGAGGGAGAGTGGACTCTGAGGATTGCCGCCACCTGATCCCCACAGGGCCTTAATTTTTCCCTTTTCAAGCTGAACAATTCACATTCTATGTAGTTTCCTCCTGTAAAATAACACACTAGTGCCTGAGCCCAGAGCTGCTGTCAGGTGAGAGGAAGGAAGATGGAGAAAGCCATGTAAAAGACTTTGGAAGTTCTCTAGTAGTGGAATCCTTTCATAAGTGAGATGACCAAGAAGGGCTAAAGAAGCCAGGTGACATGCGCAGGGTCACCCAGCCATTTAGTGACAAAGATTGCTTCCTCGAGGCCAGTGCTCAGTCGCACCATGCCACACTGTGTTCACTGCCAGCCTGTCTTACTCAAGGGAGACACTTGCAGATAGGTGGGCTGGAAAGAAAAGAAGGCCTCTGTTGTCTCAGGGGTGTCTGATAGCTCAAAAGGACAGGCCCCATTTTCATCACCTACAGTTACATAGTCTCTTCTGCTAGCCTGTTGTACCCCACCTCCCACGACTCAGTCTTTAGATCAACGACTTTCCAGGTCCCCTGGGACTGGCACAGGTCATGGCCTTGAACCTCTCGTTCTATTCTGATTGCCTTGCGTTTGCTTATGGGATTGGGACTTAACCCACATAAGCCTCCCTGTGCGATGGAGGTCTGCCTAAGCGATGGGTGGCCAGGTGAAGAGAAGGGGAGCCCATCACCCAAACCCTCCTTGAAGACATTCCTCAAGATGTCTTTTGCCCTTTTGCTCCCACCATGAACGAATCTGCAGTAGTTGCTGAAGGCAAGATGTTCCTTTTTTGTTCACTGCTCAACCGATGGGGTGAATCCTCAAAGCCCAGTGCCACAGAGCAGTAGTCTAGGGATGGACCTATCCTGAGGCCCTGATTGACAGAAATGTCTCAGTAGACAATCGAGCTATACCAGGTGTTACTGTTTTACAGGAAACTCAGGGACTTTTCAAGTTTGCTGAGAATCGTGTTACGTTTTGTGTTTGTTTAGTCCAGCCCTCCACTGCCAAAGGCTAAAGCTCAGACCCTGGAGACTCTCTCACTAGTTCTGATTCTCCTGTGCCATGGAGAAGTAAAGGCCCAGAACACGCAGTACTTGCTAAAGTACCTTGGCCCACTCTCATGGCACGGAGCCGAGCCTGTTTCCTCTCCGTACCTGGTGGCACTACAGCCGTCCTGTTTCTGGTGGCATCTCAGGGAAACACAAAGTCATGCCCAGTACCTAGCCGGGGTTCTTAACAGGAAAGGTTTGCAATAGCCTTGTAGAATGCTGCCAAGGGCTGGGCATAGTGAAGTTCCATCTGTTTTTTGGAGAAGGGAGACCCTGTGTGGAGTTTTGAACTTGGGTCATGGTCTGTGTTGTTCCTGGGCACAAATTCCTGGGACCAACTGCATGCTTTGGGACAGCTTATTTAAAAAAGAATTGGAGCTAGGGGAAAGGCAAGTGTCCTCTGTCTGATTCCTCCTTTACAGCTGTAGCCCTACATATTCTAGTGGGAAAGGAAGGCACCAGTGAGTTTTTCAAGAGTTGTAGAGATGCTAACAAGAATCCACAAGCACCTGACCTGTTTCTCTCAAAATCTGCAGGGGAGGATAGAGAACAGTGTCCACTTCAGGCAGGAAAGAGGACGGACATCCTGCTTCCTGCATTAGGTTCTGTCCATCCAGTGGTGTTCTGTCACGACCTCTGAGAGGCCAGACAGGATTCCAGCTCCTTTGCTGTTTATGGGTCACACTCACTGACAAGGGCATTTGATGGAGTTTCTGAGAACTGATCACAGATTACAAACCCATGGGCTTTTCAGAGAGAGATGAGCAAACACCACACCTGGTCAGAGCCTGGTGAGGCTCTGGCTGGGCTGATTCAGAGGTTCCTTCTTTCTGTGCACCCAAATCATTTGCCTTTTAATACAACTTGAGAATCTGACACCTGGCCTCGGCTTGTTCTTGCTGCTGGGACATCTATTCAACAGGCCACAGGGCTAGCATCTGTCAAAGTCATCTTCTTCCTATATCTTTACTGGGTTCTTTGTACTATCTGATAATCCAGAATCTGGGGCAGAGAAAAGGAAAGAGATAGGGAGCTCAGCACAAGTTTAAAACCAGTTGTACCAAAGAGTGGCAAACTCTGTTTTTTTTCATGAGCCTGATGGTTTTGACTGAACAAACTTAGCAGGCAGTGTGCTGTTTTGTGAGTGGGAAGAGAAGGAGCCATGCTTAATGAGGGAGGCACATAGCAGTCTGTATCGTAGGACCAAGTATGGAATTAATTCAGATTTCTCCCCTTTTTGATAGAGAAAATGAGCAGTTTTAAACCACTTACTGAGCTTTTTTTTTTTTTCTTCAATTTTTGGACAATATACTGGTGAAACTTTGAAGAATAAGTTTAAGTTGACATAGAGATGCATATTTTGACAATGTAAATACAACAGCCACGTGTTAATCTACCCTGCACTGCTTTAAGTGAATATACTTTGGGAAAAAATTTTGTTAATTAAGAGAGAGAGCTAAGCCTTTTTTCTTTGAACAAGAATGTAAATGTCTATGTTATTAGAAATGACAAGGGTTTTTTTTTTTTGAAGAAAAACATAACAAGACAGACTGGTGACAACATATTTGCTTTGCAGCTAGGGAATTTAAAAATGTTTAAATACGATCCTTGCTTCTTCCCAGCCAAGTCCCAATCCTATTGTAATGGCTGGAGTTTAGTGTGTATCAATGATTCACAGGGAAATTTAGAGACCTAGGTTCAATCTTTCTACAGGAAAACACATCCTAAGCCCCCAAAGATAAGTGAGTTGGCCACAGTGGCAGAAACAAGATTCAAACCTGGGTCGGCAGACTGTTCACCCTGTGCTGTGTGCTTCTGAAGGACAGGGAATTAAGGACTGTCACTCGCAGGTGGCCACTGTTCCTCCCCCACAACTACCCTGGCAAAGCTGAGGAAGACACAACGGCCCAAAACAGCCATATTGTTGGGCTCTGGAATCATTAGGTCCAAGATGTAAATAACGTTTTTTGTTTTGTTTTTCCTGCCAAGAAACAATTTTGAAGACTTTCACTGAGAAACTTCCAGCAGAACAAAGGGAACGTGACAGGGAAAGGCAGAGAGGCAAGGGAATCCCTGAGTGGAGATTCTGTCATAGTCACCAGCTCTTTCCTTCAGGTGTGCAGAAAACCCCACACCGAGAGGGGATGGATTACTGTTTCATGGGGGTCTTTTTGTTCTTTGTGAAAGTTTGCCCAGGAGACTGGGGGAGCATGTTTTAGTGGACAGGGGTCTGACGTACACTGGAATTTATTGAGAACTTATTTGTGAAGACTATAGTTAACTATTGCATTTTCTTACAAAATATATTTTGGAAAATTGTACACTGTCAATTAAAATGCTTTTGTGTAAGCTGGCTCCAGCCCTAGTATTTTGCTCTAGCTGTAATTCTTCACCCATGCACGCGTCTCATCACTGAAGCACCTGAGGACATCAGGTATTTCCACCATCTCACATGTGTAGCAACCTCTGCTCTTAGTAATACACACTGTACTCTGCAAGCAGAGAGGGGAGAAGCTGAGGAGCCGCAGGGATGGAAACCGAAAGGACCTTTTCTCCCAGTGCACAGGTTTCTAAATGTGTCACCCTCTAACCTCCCTCTACTTCTGCCTGGGATTCAACTGCAAGTGATCACCACCACCAAAGATGCCACGAGGCTCCCATGAAGTATGAAAACTGGCCAAGAGATAAACACAAACACATTAGGAACAAGCTGTGCTCTTGGAGGTTTCTGCCCATAAGGATTCCTAGTACTTGCTACAAGAGGCTTCTGTGTCTTCTCCAGGTACACGCCAAAGGAGGTGGTTGATGAAGGACTTGGCGACACTTGTTCTTTTCATCTCTTGAAACGGTGTTATCAACAGCTGTACTTCCCAGGGCAAGGGAAACCCAGTTTGCAGGAGGGCAAGGACTGCCAGGAAGCTTTGGTTCATAGTCTTAGACCTAGACAGAAGTATCTGCCGGTCTCCACTTCAGCATTTACACATTTGCACATTGCTTATAGGAAACTCTTCCCACCGATATGGTGAACTGCAGAGACTTAACTCTGGATTTTAGCCTTATGCCTTGATTTCATCCTTTCTCCTTTCAGGGCTGCATTCTCTTCTCCATGCTTGAGTTCTAACAAACTTCATTTCTAGACTATCCATGATTTTCTGTTCATCTTCATATTCTGGTAGGCACCCAGATGGGTGGACCAGAATTAGGCCTGGGGTATTTTGAGGTTAACCTCACAAGTATGCCAAGGATACAGAAAGGATCCAAATGCCAGGAACTCCCACAGGACCCTGGTCCTGCTCAGGCACACTGTTCTAATAGTGACTCACATTTTATCGCAGGCCACAAACTTGATCTAAGGCTCCATTCTCTTCCTGAGTAGGTCACTGACCTGCTCCCTGCCCTAATACAGAGGTGCTCACAGTTGACACAGAAAACACCTTATGCCTCCTCCATTTACAACCTCCCCATTCTATAAGTTCCTTCCCAAACCACCTCTTTTATGTATCTCAAAAGGAAAAATGTAAAACACAGGATTGGCTACTGTAATGAACGCTAATGATAATTACTGAGCACATGCCTTTCAAAGACTAATATACTTTCTATTTTATGAAAATCAGAGCTGGGTGTGGTGGTGCACCCTCTAATCCCAGTACTCTGAAGGCAGAGGCAGACAGATCTCTAGGAGATGGAGGCCAGCCTGGTCTACATAGTGAGGTCCAGGCTAGCAGAGGCTACAGGAAGACCCTGTCTCAACAAAACAACAAAAAGGTAAAAGAAAAATCAGTGGAATCCCCACCCCCCCCACTGCCACCGAGGATCTCCTAACACTTAATTGCAGAGATGATAGTGCTCAACACTACATACAACTCTGATGGATGTGGAGATGAAAACAGGATTGCCAACTCCCTGACTGCCCATTCCACGGCTTGAGTTCAGAGGGTAGTTGAATGACGCATGCTGCGTGCACTGTCAAGTGTCATCTCTTGATTGAAACTTCCGGCACAGTGGACAGGTCACTTTGACCTGGCTTTTCTCTCTTCCCTATGAGAGTGTCTCTGGCAAGGGTGTTGGGTAATTTTCAGCATTCTCTGCTACCCCACATCTCCACTCTTCTCATTTTTCATTTCAGACATGAAAGCTAGGCAGACAGGGCATAATGAAGCCGGAGGAAACAGCAGACACAGGACAGCAGAGCCACCACTGCTCTTTCCAATCGAACCCGCCTTTGTTGACAGGACAGACTTTTCTTACTTCCCTCCAATTTCTATGATCTCTGGTCACTTAGGAGGACTTACAAGTGCGAGCACACTGGCCGTAGAGCAGCAACTTCGATTGCTGTAGGCTTCCACTTGACGTGAAACAGCATCTCAAAAGCGCTTGGCACTGAGCCATCTTTGTTTATTGCTGTCTTCCTGATGGGAGATAGTGACAAGAGCTCCCCATTTTGATCCCTTCAATTCCCTAGATTAAGCAGAGGAAGGCTGACCCTACCACTGCACCTCATGTTGTTTGAGTGATACTAAGCACACCTAGACATGAAAGCTATGCAGACTGATATGGGTTATTTGATTGTCATATAAAGAAAACATAATTCCTGCCTTAAACATATAGCTGACAACTCCGGAATGCAAGCTCATAAAAGCCAATCAGGAAATGACAGAGGTGAAGAGACCTTGCCATTCTGAACCACTCCCAGAACTCACAGCTCAACTCTTAAGAATCCAATACCTTCACTTGATATATTTCTGGATCTTTTTCTTAAAAAAAGTCTGGCCCTTTAAGATCTTCCTCTAAATTATAGAAACAGAATTTTTCAAATCTGAAAACGCCTCTAGGTTCTCTCCCTTTACTGTTTTTCCTACCATTATGTTTCTATTTCAGTTCTTCTTCTTCTTCTTCTTCTTCTTCTTCTTCTTCTTCTTCTTCTTCTGGATTCCCTTTATTTGGAAGACAAGAAGATTTTTCCAGCCAAGAAGAGTGTCAGAGGCCCAGGCTTTAGGCCTGGGATAGGTTACCACATGTCCCTGGATCCCGCTTCTTCTTCTCTTCTTCTTCTTCTTTTCTTCTTCTAGTTTCCAACTAGTACAACTGTGTCTTCTTTAAATCTACACTCACAAAACATAAAGCTGGTTGCTGGTTGCCAAGAGTGGCTTAATTGGGCGGGGGGGGGAGGGGTCTTTTTGAGACAGGGTCTCCCTATAGCCCCAGCTGGCCTTGAACTCACAGAGATCTGCCTGTCTCTGCCTCCCAAATGCTGGGACTAAAGGCACGTGCCACTGCACCTCATGGCTTTTTTTTTTTTTTTTTTTTTTGGTGAAATAACTTACCAGTGTTCTTCAAAAAAAAAAACAAAAAACAAACAAAAATGGAAACTTCCCCCGTGAAAGTCTTGGAGCTTGATCATTTTATCTGGGCACTGTCAAAGGAAAACACTCAAGGCCCTCTGAGCCTATCATGTTCCATCTCTGAAAGCCTCAATAAAACACTTGGGTGAAAAATATAAAAACTGCAAAGTATATATTACTTTTTTTTAATACTTTGAGACAGGGTCTCAGGTAGCTCAGGCTGGCCTCAAACTCGCTACGCAGCTAAGAACGACCTTAACTTCCTCTTCCTGCTTCCACCTCCCAGGTGCTGGGATTATAGACATGTGACACACACACATCCCTGGTTTATAATTAGGGATCAAAGCCAGGGCCTCCTGTATACTACTGACTGAGCTATATTTGCAGCCCCCATAAATTTTTTAAAATGTTGACTTTATAAATTATGGCAAATGAGACATCATCTACCATCCATATATAACTTTTTATTAAGAAAATGAACAAAATAACATTCTTTCTCCATTATGTACATTACATACAACGTAATTCTACAATTGCAGTTGTTCAGCAGATTAACTCATTTATTCACAAAGTAGTGATAACATGTACCAAACTGGGATCAGAAAATTACTTGTACCAAAAAGAAATCCTAGAAAGTCCACAAGAATTGGATAAAAGATAAACCAGAGAGGATCATATAAGCCAGGGGCTGAGGAAGATCACAGAACTCAACACAGCCCAACAATACCTTAAAACACTGGTGCTGGAAGAGATCTATGATCTGAACCAAGAGAGCAGTTTAAATGTTCTGGCTTGTGGCTTCCAGAGTGCTTGTTCATTTCTGATGCTACAGTCTAATCCGAGCACTGCCACAGAAGAGGGGTAAAGAGAACCTAAGGTGATTTTCTCCTCTACACATGAAGAGGAAGTCTAATCTGAAAAATGAAGTGTAAAACTTCTATCTTAGCTGGTGTTTATACTTTTTTTTTTTTTGAGACACTTGCTTAAGGGTGACAAGGAGCTATTTCATGGACTCCTTACATTCTGTTCATATTGTGTTCTGTTGCTTTGTTTTTGGCCATTGAAGTGCCCCATCATTTCTGAATGTGGATGAAATTATGGCCATATAAGCAGTCCATCAGCAACAGAAGGCTCCTTATAGTGTGTGTTCCACATGCTTTTGACGGTCCCTAGAGGGCTTAAAAACGTCAATAAATCTCAGGGATGAAATTCCCAATTCTGGGGAGCACTCCTGCAGGGGAGTATCGTCCTCCCGAAGTTCAGCCTTAAAGGTGCAGAAAGAGGCTACTTTCCAGACTGTCTAAGAACAGAAAACTCTGGAGGACAGAAGCAGAGGTGAGCCATGCACTTGCAACCTGATCCTCCTTCATATCTGTAACAGAAGGCATTGAGAACTGCTAACACTTGTGTAAAGGCCTTTCCCATTTCTAATAATGGAAAGAAGTGAGGAAAAGGAAAACAAAGTGACTTCATCAGTCAGTAAATAAGAGCTTTCCTTCTTTACACTCATAGTTTTATGTAATGAGCATATTTTTGTAATGGCAAAATCAATACATGTTATTTAAAAGGCTATTTAACACCCTCTATCTTTCAAATAAGCTGATTCCCACTGAGTGCCTAGGCCAGAAGTCCCCACAGGGCAAGGCTGGGTGCAGACTAAGATGCCTGGAGAGATGAGGCACCACTGCCTATGCGGGAGGGAGCTGCATCTTTCTTCTCAATCTAATTTCCAGCCAAATTTTGGATCCTAAGGCTCTTTGTCAATGGCATCTTAATTTCTGGTCAATGAGTACTTCTAACTCACCAAAGTAAACATCCGATTCAAAAAAAATTCTAGTATCTTTCCCACATGACTTATAAATATGTCATTTCAAAAGATGGAACACTTCATCTCAAGATGAAGAAAAGAAAGGCCCTCAGCTTAACTTCCTTGTACTTTTCTGAGGCTTGAGATGCAACTGTGCATAGCTTTTAGAGTGGTGGTTAAGGGGAGCAATTCTCTTTAAAAAGAA